TAGTCTGGATTCGGATTAGATCGCTTGATTTTCTATCCAATTTACTTTTAGAAGACCGTTGTTATTTATTTAATGATATTTAATCAAATCTCGGATGAACCGGCACGTCGATATATCGTTTCGTAATTACAAAACGAAGAAATTATTTCTGGAATACGCCAGAGGCGGTTATAACATAAAGTGTATGTTCAAATAATCTATCTATATATATATATATATATATATATATAAGGTTGTCAAATATCTCCCTTCCGCCTTTTTGTATTATAAACCAAGAGCAAAAAAGCGGAAGGGAGATATTTGACAACCTAATATATATATATATATATATATATATATATATATATATATAGGTGTATGTGTGTGTGTATATATGGAAGGCGATGGCCGCTATAGCTTTAACTTTAACTTTGTCATATTAGAAATCAGAATCTCGAATCTTGTGGCCAAAATGATAGAATTGTAGCACAAACAATTCAAAGTGGTAATAAGTTTTTATATAAGGCGTTTTAAAACTGTTGGTGCATGGCCTTAAGGTAAATTGCTGGAACACGTCGTACCGTAACTTAAAATTTTGAAAAAAAAATAGATTTTTTGAAATTTTTGGAGTAATTTGAAAATTATGAAGACCATTCAAGTCGGTAGATCAATAGTGTCAAAAATACCAAGTAAATTAAATCTTGATACGGAGTTCATTAGAAACAAAATGTGTACTTATTATTAAAATCTCTATAAAATATCTGATAATTTGATATGCATATGTTCAGTGATGATTTTTGACCACCAAATGACATTTTTTAAAACATTTATTGACCCGAATTTCCAAAAATTTAAGCAATTTTTCATTCCGTCAATACAAGTGAAATGTTTTTTGAATCATTTAAATTGCACGCTCAATTATCACTGCAACTGAATTACTATTAAATGCACTTTTGCCCCGTATTATTAAAACGGCTGGACTTTTCTTTGCCAAAAACAAATTAGCACGTCTTCCCACCAATAGAAATCGAATAATTCTAAACCACTCTCAAAATTGTCTTCGAAAAATTGTATCCGCACATTTAAACGAAAACACACGCGCACTTACATCCATTTTTTCTTAGGTATTTCAGAAATGTTTGAAACATGAAGATATGCAAAAATCTTTATTTTCGATTTTTTGCGATTACTATAACTTACACTACTTTAATTTATATTGAATTTAAATTCGTTTCCTATCCTCGTTTTTGTGGAAATGAATTATTTCTATATCTATAAGCTTTATTTTTAATAAATATTATAATAGAAATTTTATTTCAAACAATTTTTATAAAGAACAAAAAGTATGGCATACGATTTTTACATCATTCAACTCTTCAATTTAAAAACTAAAATTGAAACGAACGTAATTCCAGAATAACGTGATATATTAAATTTTAGAACAGATATGTCGATATCAATACATCTTGTTTTAAATTATGACCACATTAATTAATGTGATTAATTTTCATTGCTTTGCATATGATCGTTAAATATGAACATAAACGTATATAGAACACCTAATTAATTCACTGCCCCTGAAACAACTATTTAATTAATCCATTTAACGTATTATGTGCATATATATATAAATATATATAAATATATATATATATATATATATATATATAAACTATTGTATGATTCATACTTATATAAATCAGTAAGTTTATTCTATTTTTGCAAAATAATAAATATAGAATGATATTAAAATTAAAAGAAAAAATCGTCACAAATAAATATTTTAATTAGTATTATAACATATTTAAATGCATTGTGTAGAAACCTGACAAACCATTATTTTTGTAAATTTACTTGTCATAATATTTGACAAACCAGACTAATGTTTGCCTCTTCTTATGCCTTTAACGTTTGTCCATAGTGAACTGTACTTCGGTGATTTTAAAATGACTTATATTTATATGAATCATTTATTATAAATATAAATAAGTTTTGAAGCTATACTATAAAAGTATTGAGCTTGATTTTTTACACATAAAAGATAAATTGTGAGGATATGGAGAAATCAAGTTATGCAAAATGAGATTACCATGGTGTATTATTTGATATAATTTCTCGAATTAGTTTTCAAATTTCTTCTGCTATCCATAGAAATAGTTTTTAAAATTTTTATATAAAGAAATTTTGAAAGAAAAATCGTTGTTTACTAAATCTTTCTTTTTCAGTTATAAAAAATAAAAATTACTTTTCCAAACTAAGAATATGTTTTTTATTTGCCCTTTAATATTTTAAAATGACAAAGAAAACGTTCTGGCAAAAACACTTTTTCACAAATAGACTAGAGCAAGGCTTAATGATCCGCGGGGCAAAAGATCCACCGCCAATATGTCAAAAACATGTAAAGTTAGGCACATATTTTTATAACAATATTTGAAAGTAGCGGACAAAATATGTATAATCAGCCATCAATCCATAACAAAAGTATTTTCTTACGTTGTAAGTTTTTTTGGTTGTGAGCACTGTTGTTCAGTTTATAAGACCTTAATATGATTTCTCAGTATAACTTATTGGATTGTTTTATAAGTAGGGTGGAGTAACAGAGACTAACTGAACATTTACACTGGCAAAGATGTGAGGATAAACATATATTTACAGTTGAGGAAAGCAATTTTTCAAGAAATAAATTAAATTAAAAATTATTCCAACTCTAATAACAAATATTCGTGATAAAATGCTAGATGCTAATCAAAGCAACTCACAGCGTTACTTTTTTAAAAACTGTACCCATGAAAGGGTCTGATCGTGTTTCCATACAGAATTGGCCTCACCCTGGTATTTAAATGATTTTGATACCATTTTATAGGTATTTTCGAGAAAATTCGAAATACCAAATTTAAAAATCCGTAGCTCATCATTTGATCGAGATATCATTGAAAATATGTGAAAGTGGCCACTTTTTTCAAAGTGGTTTTTGCATTTGCATTGATTGAATATTTGTAGCTATTGTTTCGAGAAATCCCTTATTAAAAATAAGAAATTGTATCTGTTTACTTCGATTATAAAGTGAAACGAGGGGTTGCAAAATTGTAAATAAACACATTATTATAATTAAAAATAAATTATAAATTTTACTGAACATAGTATGATAGTTGTTTATTTGATACGTGTGAAAATTACTTAAAGTCTAATTGAACCTTTGTGCATCGCGCTCTACCCTATCTGCTTGACGAATTATTGTACATTATTTACATTAAAGTACTTCGTGCCAATATATAAATCGTACCTTAAGGCAAATTGCTGGACATTTTTAAAAAAGCTTTAAATTTTTTTGAAAATTTCTTACGTATTGGATTAGCCGTCTCCGAAACCGCCAGACCTGCCTTCCCAAAAGTTTAATCAGTCCTTCATTTTGTCATTAAAAATTAAATGTAAATTAAGTTAATCATTAATCAGACGCTCCGTTATCTGAAAAACTGAATTACCAATTTTGTTTTTTTACCCTGTATTTTCGAAACGGCTGGACCTGCCTTTGTCAAAAATAATCAGCACGTCTACCCATAAATACGATCCAAATTTTTATTGAATTATTTAAATTGGTTGACACAAACACACATACACAAACATTCATTTTATCTAAGGTAATCCAAAATGTTCAGAAACCTTTGAAACGTAAAGATATAGAAATTCTCATGTTAGACTATTTTGCAATTACTATAACTTACCCTACGGTAAGTTAATAAATAATTAGTTATCTGCGTTAACAAAATATAGACCTGCAAGAATTTAATAAACATGTTTTTGAAGTTATACAATTACAAGTGTATAAGGTTGATTAAAGAAATAAATTTTGACGCGCTTTTTATAGAACATGTTCTTCTAAACATTTGTTATAATATTATTTTTTAACCCTTCGTCGGTCGGAGTGGTCTAACTAGATTTTTTCGACTTCAATTTAAAAAGAAACTTATACTAATCCTATCGATTTGAATTTTCTGGACTTTCCATAAAATTTCATCAGCTGTCGATCAATAAAAAAATCAGGACAAAAAAATGTGTGGTCTAGCCAGGCTACTCCGACCGTTCGAAGGTAAATAAATATCCAACCGACGGAGGGTTAATGTGTATAAGATTAAAAGAAAAAAATTGAGTAATTTTTTAGCGTCTTAATTAGACTAATGAAAAATAAACTAGTGGGGTGTATGGCATCGTGCTTTAAGGCAAATTGCTGGAACTTCCCGTACCGTAACGAAATGTTCGAGGCATATTGAATGTTTTCAAATAGATTATTATAAATAAACATTGTCTAATATTTATAAGAATTATATAAATTGAATTGCAAAGTTGAAATTATTTGTTTAAAGCATATTAGAACTATAGTCAGAATTAAAAATAAAATCTGAATTATTTTCGATATACAAAAAAATTTTTCTTGAAAAAAAAAGTTGAAACAAATATTTTTTTCCAAAATCAATTATTTTGTTAAGACGAGCAGAAAGTTCTTTGAATCATTTAAATCGGACGCTTAGTTCTCTCAAAAACTGCCATTTTCTAACATTTAGCTTTGTATCTTCCAAATGGCTGGGCCTGCCTTCGCCAAAAACTAATAAACACTTCTCCCAACCATTACTAATTGAATGTTTTTTAGATCATTCAAATCGGATACTCCGTTCTCTCAAAAACTCAATTTCTATTTCCTGCACTCTTTGCTCCGTATCTCTGAAACGGCTGGACCTGCCTTTGCCAAAAAGTAATCAGCTTTTCTCCCTATCAATAGGAATCGAATGTTTTTTTAAACCATTCAAATCGGTTGATACGTGCGCCCTAAAACGTGACTGGAAATTTGTATCCATACATACATACACACACATACATCCATTTTTTCTGAGGTATGCTAAAATGTTCAGAAACCTTCAAAACGTCGAGAAATGTAAAAATTTTCAATTTCGATTTTCGGCCCATTACAATAACTTACCCTACGGGAAGTTAATAAATAAACTGTACATATTTTTTCCAAACGCCACTATATTTCCAATACCAATATCCAAATGAGTAATAATATTTCCGCAATTACCCTTTACCACGCCTCCCTGCAAATTCCGGCCGAGTCCGGTCGCTGACCATTGACGCAGTTAACGCGCGAGTTCTCGGCCAATTCGTAAGTTGGCACCAGGATTGCTCTGTGCAGCGGCGAATTCCTCTGGGCGATTATTGTATTATCGGTTTCATCTAATTGAATCCATTCCAGACATCTAACAACTTCGGAACCTTTAAAAGTTAGACTTTCGGTTACGTTGAGAAGTCATTACATGGTGTGGGCTCTATTGATATTGCGATGTAAGCAATACCGCAATTTGAAGTTACTTATATATATATATATATATATATATATATATATATATATATATATATATATATCTTATATATAAAAATTGATCGCAAAATGTGTTGGTAAGCGCATAACTCAACAACGCCTGGACCAATTTGGCCAATTCTTTTTTTAAAATGTTCGTTGAAGTCCAAGGATAGTTGTTACGGCGAAAAAAAAACGAATAATTGCCGGAAAAACCCTAAAAACAGCCCTTTTCTTCTTTAATCGAGTAGGCAACGCAATTTGTAAAAAAAACAAAGATCTATGTCATGACATTTTGTGTAGTTTTTGATAATCTAATTTTGAATATTATATAATTATAATTTGATTAATAGAAATATCTTTCTATTAATCAAGCTATATTGGCAGCCAAAAACATTGATGTAAATTAATTAAATTTCAAAATTCAAGAACAAATTACAGGCGAATCAGTTGATTCGGCAACTAACCAAGACGATCCACCGGAGTTTTTAAACTCGCTGGATTTGCTAGGATTGTCACCTCTAAATCTTCAATTATTATTATATTATTCATAATTATTATTATTCAAAGGGTAGCATAAAGCAGAAGATGTTCTCGCACCATGCATCCCAATGCGTTTCCAGTGCGTTTATGGTATCATTAAGTGTTTGTGGTATTAATTTAGAAAACCCATGTTTCTCACATGGAAAATTGTATGTTGTTTGTTCCCGTATTGGAAAACCATCAGATTTGTTTGTCTATGCGCCAGGTAATCAAACAAAAAACATCGTTTATCACAAAGCACAATGAAAATTGAACTGATTTTTGAATTATGATTTACATTATTAAAATTACCTACTTTTAAATGCTTATAGTGTTTTATTTAATTATTTTTAATTTACACCGAATTATTACCAGGGTGACGGTTCTGTTCAGGATAATTTTTTGCAAAGAATAGAAAAAAGGTAGGCACAAAACACCCCCACATTACAATATTTTTTGACAGGACGAAGTCTGTCGGGCCGGCTAGTATATATATATATATATATATATAAGGTTGTCAAATATCTCCCTTCCGCCATTATAAACCAAGAGCAAAAAAGCTCTTAAAATATAATAATAATAATAATAATAATAATAATAATAATAATAATAATAATAATAAACATATTAACCCACTTGAACAGTCGGTACATAAGTGGAAATTGATTGTAAAACATTTATAAGTAAGAGTCAATTGCTCATTTATGATATATTTTGTAATATGCTTATTTTTTTAAAAAAAACTTTAATGTTATATATATTTTTTGATTATCATAATTTTTCAGATAATTTTTATTATTAGAATTGAATTGAGCTGTTGGTTATCCATCAGATTCAAATATGTACCCGAAGGATTTTAACCACAGCAAAGTCTGGCAGGGTATGCAAGTATATATATATATATATATATATATGTATATATATATATGTATATATATATATATGTATATATATATATATATATTTATATTAGGGCGGTCCTTAACCAGGACATTTTCGAATTTCTTTGCTCCCAAGGGCGCCAATGCTTCCAAATTAATAAAAAATAAATCTCTAATAGTATTAGCTCTTAATATAAACATTTAGATAGAGCGCACGCCAATTAAACGTTTCTTGTGTTTGTTATTAACATACGTCATTAAGTAAATTCTTGCGCCATCTGTATATTTATAAACCACTTAACCTCTAATTAAATCAATGTGGGCTGTTCTATATGTTTATTCCTTATTGAATCAAGATAATAATTCGAGTTTCAGCATCACCAATTAAATAAATATTTTGCTGCAAAATTAATCTTGATTCCATGATGAATAAATATTTAAAAAAAGCCCACATGGAATTAATTAGAGGTTAAGTGTTTTATAAATATTTTTAGGTGTCATACTATATTGAGTTCACGAATACTATACAGATGGCGCAAGAATTTACTTAATGACGTATGTTAATAAGAAATACAAGAAACTTTTAATTGGTGTGCGCTCTATCTAAATGTTTATATTAAGAGCTAATACTATTAGAGATTTATTTTTTATTAATTTGGAAGCATTGGTTCCCTTGGGAGAAAAATATGAAAATGTCCTGGTTAAGGACCACCCTAATATTATATTATTATTATATATATATTATATATATATATATATATACATACATACATAAATAAAAAAGGAAAACTTAAATTATGTATACGTAAACAAACTTCTGAAACAAACTTAGTTTTCCTTTTGAATAACTGGATGAATGACTGTATAAACAAACATTTTTGCAAAAACTATAAATTAAATAAAAAATCAATAGACATTGAGAGTGATTATGAAATGGACATACCAAATCTTTGAATGAAAATATTATTCAAAATTTATAAACTCTTTGAAGATGTGTGAAATGAAGACCTGAAATGTTTTCTACATCAAATAAAGTTACCTATAAATTAATTTATATAAATCATATTTTTTATATTTATCCACATCAAATGCTTTAAATTATATCACCATTAATTTTCATTATTAAATTTACTGAAACAGCACTATTTGTTTTTTATTTGAAAATCTCGAATTGTACTTTTTATGATAAATTGGAAACATGTTATAGAATATACGTTTTTTATATTAGGTATAAATATTTAATGCTTTCGAAATCGTTAAAATTATATTTATTGACAATATTGATTTTGAATGGTAGTTGAATTATTAGATGTAGAATATAAAAACGTAAAGTGCAATATAATTTTAACTATAAATCCTAATATTTATTTTGCAAGCATTTAAATAAATTGCTTATTAATTATGGTTTATGAATTAATATTTGGATATGATTACCTTTGTCTGCAGTAGTCTCTTTGGTAATTTGGTGGCATTCAAATGTGTTTTCTTCGTTATCACATTTAATCGAAAGGAATTGAATACATAACAACAAAGTCAGGAATGTATTTATAATGAATTTAGTCATGGTTACTCGAGATTGTTTGCTCCTATAATAAGTAAAAACATTAATTTTAGTTGTATCATTGATTTCACTTCGAACAAGCACACACACATATTATATATATATATATATATATATATATATATATATATATATACAATAGTAATAACAATATTAATACACCTCGACAATATGATACGCAACAATTAACTAATTTGTTCCGACCCAAAACTTTATGTCGAATAACGTATCAAATTATTACGTATTCATGACATTTGTTATCAAAGTTGTGATGTATTATGACCTGAAGCACACGAGTGATAACTTTATTAGAAACATTTTGTATAAATGTATGGGTGATGTATATCATATTATATAGATGAATATTATATATATATACTACAAAACCTGACGGGTTATACTAAATAATAGGTATTTTAGGTATTAATTTTTCTACCAGTGATCAAAACTATGTGTTCTTTGAGCTGTGTTTGCTAACTTTCATTCATAACCTGGTACTTGGGGCAACTCAGTGGTTAACCACTTTTCTTCACTATAACTACATACCATATATTAGATAAGTACATCTAATAGTGCTAACTAGAATATAATTGAGCCCGCAAAAGGCGATTTTCATTTGCGATTATATTTCAGATCTATAACTTCTAGTGGAAATTTGTACAGCCTCAGGACGGTTATGACACTCGGTCTTTCTTTGACAGTATTTTATCACTTTTTTATAGACAAATTGTTCAAATTAACATATAATTTACTTTTTCCCTTAATTAAATATTTAGTGGCAAGTGGTAAAACTGTACTCGGTCTGCTCTACTTCTAGAAAAGTTGGTTTAGTGAAAAAATGTTTACACATTCTCGTATGATTTGTAATACAACTGTACTTTCATTGCACCTTGTATAACATAACATAACATAACATAGATACTCTTTCGCTCACGTAATGATAATAAAATAGCAAAAAATCCAGATGAGAGGATTCTCTAAACTCCTGATGAGCAAAAAATGATATTTTAAGAGCATAAAGTCAAATCCGGATATTTGCTAAGAGGTCCATTACATCAGAGTTCTTTATTAAGCATAAGTAGAAAACTCTGAATGTATAAGGCCAGATGTTTTCGGACTAGAATTGAAAATTTGTAAAGTTTTAACTCATTAATACTTACATGATATAACTCACTGGATATAGTTTGATCTTTGCAACAAATAAGCCACAAAGGGGCTACTTTAAGTTGGGAACAATTTTTGGACCTATATTTTTAAGTGGAAGTGAATAGTTTACACCAGGTTGTCGATTTGCATTGATTGATCTTATCGATGGCCAATGACGAATCAGTATTTTTGAGTAACACATTTCTGTCCGAATTGCTGAGTTACTTCATAGTCGCGCGTAAAAAAGCTTTACTTCAAAAATTACAATAATCACATACATATTTGATAATCAAGTCTCCGAAAGCAGAGTGTTTTTTATTGTGTTTTTCGATAGCTACAATATATTGAAATCTTACCTTCATGTTTTTTATTCCATTATTTTAGCTCGCAAATCAAAATTTAGTATCTTACTAAACTCCATTAATTATAATGTATGTGTAAAATTTCATGAATATTTTTGTAGGACTCCTTTAACAAAACCACTCATGATGGCTTCGCACAAAACATAGATTTTGAACTTTTCAATATGCTCTGCATAAATTCCTCACGCGTTTCGTATATCCGATTTATTTAGCCCTGCTCTCTGTCGGATGTTTGCCAGCCCTGCTCTAAAACGAAGTGGTTTTTCTTAATTCAGTGTTCCTAAGTGCAGCCGTGAAGCGCACTCGGTTCCCGCGCTCGTCGCCTGGCTTCACGTGATGAACTGCGACTGGAGTCCAATTGCACAATGGAGTTCTATCTTAAACGATTCAGCTCGCAGTCTCGCAGCTCGCACGCAACTGCAGTCCTATAAATTAATGTTATTAACGCTTTAGCTTCCTACTATTTTTCTTTTATAGCGGTTTTTATTCTTGGATTATTTTATTTATATACACGCAATTAAATGTAATCACTCACATTATTATACTACATACATAAAAATAAGTTATTGTTAGTTTTTGAGGTACAACTCTTCAGGCGCGACCAGGGTGTGAATCCGTACAAATGCAACGGAAGTGCGTTACGGCAGATAAGTTAAGATAAGAGTCGAGTGCCAATGATTTGTCATTCGCTCTCGATGATATCATTTCTATACGGGTGGGTTGTGATTAGTCGCCGCGTATGTGAATAGAGATCTATCGTTGTATGTGTACCGGCTTCAACGTTGTGTGCGTACCGATATCGACAAGGAAATCATAGATATCATAGGCATAGATAAATAAACGTTTTAAAGTTACATCGTAGTACAAATCTTGATTCAATGCCAAAATGCCCTAATCAGAACAATATTTTACCCTGTTCCTTGACAATATTGATTAATAAGATTATTGATTAGGAAGTTTATTGATTGGAAATTATTTCTATATTATTCGTAGTTTCTATAATCTTTGAAGTTATTAAAATGGAAATATTTTTTAGGCAAGACAGATATTACAGCTGTTCAAAGAATGAGATCATATCGCCAGCGAAAAAGTAAAAAAATATAACCAGTCAATGAATGTATGTTAATTTTAATTACATTTCAAACATTACATGATGAGTGAATGTGATGAAGTTTAAGCGTTGTTTAATATAATCCACGGTGTGAACAAATATTATAAAATTTATTAATTAGCAATTACTTCATTTCTCTAATGAAAGTTCATTTCTAAATTACAATGACAAACCTATCATGTCATAGTTGAAACATGACTTTAATTATATTATTAACTTCCTGCAGGATAATAATAAGCAAAAAAAACGATTTTTTTTATATATCTTCACGTTTCAGAGGTCTCTGAACATTTTCACACATACCTTGAAAAATGTATTTATGTGTGTGTGTTGTGTGCGGATACAAATTTTGGTTGACGATTTCGGGAACACGGTTCAACCGATTTCAATTATTCAAAAAACATTCGATTTTTATTATAAGGACACGTGCTGATTAGTTTTTTGCCTAGACAGGTCTAGCCATTTCAAAGATACGGGGCAAAAAGAGCCACAAACAGTAACTCAGTTATTAAGAGAACGGAGTGTCCGATTTTAATCATTCAAAAAACATTTTACTTGCATTGACAAGATGAACAACTGATCTAAACAAAGAAAACTTTTTTTTTCAATACGTCTTTTTCTCCAAAAATTCAAAAATTTATAGTTTCTCAAAACTCTAATTTTTTCAAAGTAAAATTATTTAAAAAATGTATTCTTTTTTAAAAAAAATAACTTTTGGTACGAGAAGATACAGCAATTGCCTTAAGGCACGATGCCATGCACCCCACTAGTTATTTTTAAATATTATACACATTTTAAATGCTATTATAAATTATAATTTATAATATATCATTATATAAATGTGTATAATGGTTGACAGGTTGACACTAATAAATGTGTGCATCACGAGTGTTACCATATTACTAATAAACATTATTAAAAAATTCTTATATGAAGTAATTATTTTTACTTAAATGCTAACTTGTACAGTAGCAAACAGGTTTTACTTCAATCGCGTGTAAACCTTTCACGCATTCTTTTCATATTTTAACGGCAATCAGAATTTAAGAGTTTTCAAAGCTGCTGTGAATTTTTTTCTTAACTACGTGACTTTTTAGAAGGTAACCCTAAGGTTGACCGATCTCTATTTTATTATTAACTTCCCGTATTGTGAGTATTGGTTATTTTATGATTAGATTGCCTTTACAACATATCGCTATCTACAATTTTAAATAAAATCAAGGTCTTTATTGATTGACATCAGGCTGTCCGAGGCGATATCAAAAGGAACCAGAAACCTTCTATTGGAAGGAGAGAGAAAGTTCCAACTATTAGGCTACCTGAAGTTAAACGTCGTTAAAGCACATAATAAAAATACTACAAATTTACTGTTGAAAAGATTAAAAAGAAACTTTGTGAATATATTCATAGACTTAAGAAAAGTTTTAGATCCGTTGCACTACATCCATAATTTATTCGGTTTTGATTTTCCTTAGCATACATTTTATTATTCGAAACAAATAATATTTTTACTGAAAGTGATTCATTTTGAACTTTAATCGTGTATAAATAAACATGTGTTTCCATGAATGTTTGCATATACGACAAGTTCGTTTGCCCACGTAGTCGTCCGATGAATCGTGCTTCCCAGACTTCGTCATGATTTGTGTATTGTTTACTCTCTGTCATAAACAAAACGTCAGGATTTGCTTTGAACGTTAATGAGGGTCCTTGTTCTAGTTATTTTAGTCGGCGTTATCACGAATATAATTAATTGCACAGAGTAACTATGTAATATAGTGAACTTGATGGCTTATTTTCGTATTATGCTTGGCTTTCGCATTATACCTGCATGGTGCCAGCTCCGCACGCACGGTCGGAGCTCTAATCATGGGAAATATATTACCTGCTGAAATTCATGTTTCTGAATTGTAATTTATTTGGCACCGACTCATATTGCGGACATTTTTTATAACTTATGTCATCAACTACATGAGAATATTAATGTCTTTCAAAATTTCTTACTAACGGTTTCATTTTAGTAGATACATGTTTTAACGCCCATTTTCGATTTTTTGCGATTACTATAACTTGCCCTACTGGAAGTCGCACATCAAAATATCAGATATTTTATAGAGATTTTAACAATAAGTATAAATTTTGTTTACATTCCTATCGGTTCCATACCAATATTAACCGTTAAACGGCGACACGGCGCTTACGCGCTTCAATATTTTCGTCTCTATGCAGTACGATAAGGTAACGATTGCTTTGACAAAGTTCAGATATTCCAAAATATTTTAAAATAAACATTTTTTTCGAAGTCTTTTTTTTCCATAAAGTAAATTTTTGTCAAAAATTATATTTTTCTTAAAAATCTATTTTTTTCAAATTAATTTTTTTCAAAAATGTTATCTTTTTAAAAATTAATAATAATTTTTTGTACGTCAAGTTCCAGCAATTTGCCATAAGGCGATGCCATGCGCCCCACTAGTTATTCCACAAAAGTCATTTTCTTTCAAAAATGTATATTTTCTAAAAAATCTAATTTTTTTTAAAGTTTAAACAAATTTTAATCTTTTTTTAAAAAATTAATTTTGGTACGAGAAGTTCCAGCAATTTGCCTTAAGGCCATGCGTCCCACTAATTTTAACTTTTGTTACGACGAAA